CCCACCCCAGTGTTTTCCTATTCTCCAGACAAAATTATCCATCAGAAAAAATTCTGAGCATTCGCCATCAAAGAATCAGAATATACAGAAAATTTGCAATATTTGAAACAGCTGATCATTTTCGCAGTTTTAATAGGTGGTACATTTGGTAATTTATTATCCGGTTGGAGCATTGTCCTCGGTTTGGCATTTTTTACTATTAAATACTTTTGGATAGGAAAAACTGTTTTAACATATGAATGAATAAATATTTTTCTCAAAACTTATACCACATCATAACGCATTCAAAAATAAAAGGATCTCCTCTAAACACCCATCCTTGTTTCAAAAAAAAAATTAAGTAGATATAACTATGTGCCTTTAAAACTAACCCATTTTTTTTTCAACTATCAACTGACAAATTTTGCCAAATCATAATACGCATAATAACTCTACCTTTTCTTTCATTGTATACAAGCAATATTTATAAAACTTACAATAAATAATTCAAAAAGCCGTATTTTCTTTCGGTTATTCCATATATGTAATACTCCTATATTGGCAGTAAGAGCTAGTACCGTCCGAAAACACTACAGTACAGATATATAAATAAACACGTACGAAAGAAAAGGAACACATACGTTTATAAATAAACATGTACACAACACATATAGAAAAACGGCACTCAAGTACACAATACATTGACAAAAACCGTACTAGACTATCTCGCTTTGATTTCGGAATGCTTAAGCTCGGAACACTTTGACGACTGCAACTTCACGACGTAACGACAGCGACATCATTTTGTCGACAAATGTCGCCTTGAAGCCAGCTTCTTAAACATTTTGAAGACCTCAGCGACATAGCAAACAGCCGATTTTAAAGTTTGACATTTTGGTATATTTATTTCACAAATTGTGTATTTTTATTATTAAATTAAATAAGAAAAACATGAACAATCAAGAATATGTGATTAATTTTGCGACAATTTAATTTTGCAGCACTACATCTACTCATTGTC